AACGAATGATGACTTGTGTGAACATTAGCTCCTCCTCTAAAATGCATGTATTATGCTGGAGAGACTTCACACTTTTAGTGCAAACCCCCCACCCACCCCGGTAAAGTTAAAATTCTCAACCTCCCCAGACATAGACAACAGTGAAATGCTTGTATGTTACCTGTGTTAGAGTTCAAGTTTCAAATTGATTGTTTCATAAGATCTTTGATGAAAAAAATAACAAACCAAAAATATCAGAGGCACTGAAAATAAGACTGAAATACTGCCAGGTGCTGACATACAGTTCTTAGAGGCATATACCCTAGTTCTCCATTGGTATCTCTTGACAGATGCCACGATTTCCAAGATGCAAGCAGGTCAATATCTCTCCTTTGACATTTCTACAGCTGCAGTGTTGCAGCTTAAACATAAATCAATGTATTTCAATGTCTGAATTAAGATTGAAGGCAGGTTTCCTCGTCTGTTCATCTTAGCTGTGATTACAATAAACTAAAGATGCTGAACTATTTCTAAGTCATGACAAAGATGGAGAATTTCAAAGCCAAAATGTCAATTTTTTAAATCTGATTGCTGGCATCTAAAATATTTTCTGTTCAATTGACTAGCCAATTAAGACAAAGCAAGTCAGGAAGTGTTAAATTGGGTAAACTTTCTATAACAGAAAACTCATACAGGGGCATTATTTATATATTAAGCTGTGAATGTCAACTGCTCATTACAGGAACATTCCCAAACTAGTGAAATTTGTCATTTATTAACCTTTTTCCCGTAAATACATTGCAGTGAGAGAACAAAACTAGATTATACATGCAGCAACTACACTCATCATACTTTATTTGAAATAACCTCTTTGCTGACGAGATCTAACAGCTGTAGCAGGCTTGTTATTTATACTGATTCATCCAAAACTGAGATCACAAAGTGGTTGGTAAAGGTACTGTTCTTATTTTGACAGCAACAAGTTATTGCCTGTCCTTTCCTTTCAAATCGTCAGAAACGAATTTGAAATTGAAATCATCTTTATCATGCATTTCGTATGGCACAAATCCATCACATTGCTTCTTCAATTCATTATTAGTTGCAGCATACATCATCTTTTCCTTTACTCCAACCGTGTCATCATCGCACCTAAAAGAAAAGTCATCCATTAATTTAAACAGAACCATAAATTTAATGGTTAGTGAAAACTGATTGGTTCAAATGGAAACTCAACCCAAAGCTGTAGCAGGTTAATGCAGAGCATCAAATCTCTTAGAAAACTGCTCACTTCTCAAAACAGATGATGTCTGCAGAGAAATATCTTTGTTTACTTTTGCCCAAAATAGAGAGACAGGGCGTGAAATTGTGCCTAATACAGGCGCCAATGCGACTAAATTTTTCACTTTGGCGACCAAATCCTGAAAGTTAGTCGCCAAATTGGCGACTACGACGTTTCATCATACCCTTACCAAGAGATATAGTGAATTAAATAAATTTGCAAAGATAAATCCGCGGCAAACTTCCTCGTTAAGTTTGTTTCCAAAACGTAGCACATGCATCTCGATCGATAACTAGACGCCATCTTGGATTTAGATGAGCCTGAACGTTGTATATCATACATCCTAGTGTCCACTTTGTAGCAAGTTAAAGATCTTTTCCCTAACTTAATTTTGGAGGGTCTATCTAGAACGCTGACAGCGTAAAGAAAGATTTTGTTTGTCTTTGAAAATGGCGACCAACTTTTTTTGAATTGGCTACCACTTTGAAGAATTTAGGAGCCAAGTGGCTATCAGAAAAAAAGTTAATTTCACGCCCTGGACTATTGTTAATTGTACACTTGAGCATTCTGTTAGGCTCCTCTGAAATTTCCGAGTACCAAAAATACTCCTAGTCATAGAGAGGAACTTTAAAAGTAAAGTGTCTTGCCCAGCAACACAGCACAACAATGTGGCCAGGGCCTTAAATGACTTTTTGAAACCCTTAGTGAAGAGCGCTATCCAATAACCTACTGTAGCTTCTCTCCTTCTTATGACAATAAAATAAAAAAACCAGCCCAGTCACCTACCAATATATGTAAATTGGTTTATCTTTGGAACTACCACTGCTCTGTTCATAAATAAAGTCAAAGAGGATGTAACAGGGCCCTCCCAGTTCCTCAACCTTCTGCAACATCTCGCCAAAGAGTTTCCTATTTTTTTCTACATCAGTTCTGGATTCTAGTTTGCCATGAGTCTCCTTAACCACAACTGCCTGTTTATCTTCAATCTTCATGATGACCCATGCATGTTCGTGCTTGTCTTTGACTAAAGAGAACATATTCTTGCAGCGTTCTTCCAATTTAATACCTGACGACTTTAAAAAAATAATATGGCACACATTAGTTTTTATAACTCTGCACCTTGCTCAAATGCTCCTTCCCTAATCAATAATACCGCAAGTACTTTGTTACTGAGAAAAATCTGACTCCTGCAAGTTGTCCAAATTTGAACAAAAATTTTTTATGTACAGATGAGACTTAGAAGAAGCCATGGTGAATGACCACTTTTCCACAATCTCACAATTAAAGCTCCAGGGAAAATGAAACTCCCAAAATTATTCCCAGGTCACAGACACTTAAGGGTCCATCAACAAAAGAGGGTGCATCTTGAAAAAATTGCCCTCTGTGTGCTACTTTAAAAAATAAAGCATTGAAGAAATAGGTATCACTATGCCTTGAGTCTTTCTACTGGTAGGCATGTGCAAACCAGTTACCAGCCTCATCCTCACATGTCTTAAAAAAGTAACATGACATACATTAAATTTTCTAATTCTGTTCCCTGCTCAAGTACTCCTTCAGAAAAACTTGCTGCTCTCAAGTTGCCCAAAGTTGAATGAAAATTTGAATGTACAGGGACTTTAAAGGGTGAAGCAGAGGGAAACAGTACTCTTTTCCAAGGATGTCAATATCGAGGCTTCATGAAAAAGTGAAACTCCCAAATTTATTCTCAGGTCACAGATACTAAGGGATGATCAACAAAATAGAGTACCTTACAGAAAAAATGATTCTCTGTAAGCCTTTTTAACAGATACCAAGGAAAACCTTATGTCACTGAGAAACTTTCAAAGTCTAAATTCTGAAAATGACAGAAGTTTTAGCAGTTTTGGTCTTGAAACACAAATCTGGCACTGTTTGCTTAACTGAGTAACCAGCCTCCCAAGTTAAATCCAAACAAAGTGAACAATATCACTCTGCAGACAATGGGCTAACTGACAGATGGAGACATTTTTCTCTTAGTCCCTAAGAAAATCTATATTGAACTTGGACAAAAGGAAATATTTTGGTTGCATTAATGTGCTGGAATGTTACATGAATAAAATGTTAATTTTCTGAAAGCTTCTCCCACTTTGGTTTTTAATATCTGACAAATATCTTGGTCAAGTTTCATCAAAATCTGACATCACCAACCAATGAAAAGCAACATCAAACTTCCTGGCAAGTCTCATTAAAAATTCGGGGAATAAAATTCAGGATTAAATTCCTGAATTTAAAAATTCAGAATGAAAAAGGAAAAGTAGGCACAGTAAGCTAGAGAAGAAGAAAAGTCTACCTTTGATTTCTTTGACCTAAGTTTCTCTCAGATTTTACCCAACTTTCCTCTTTTTGCCTATTTCATGTATACTCTTGCATTACTACTTAATGTTTCACAAAATGTGTCAGAAATTCTTTTCTTCCTAACTGATGGTCGCATGTTTTACTCCTAATCAGAGTACTAGGTGTTCTTTTTTGGCAAGTATGCTTGTGTCATTCATGAATTGCATTATCTTTCACTTACCATGATGACAGCTTAGGAATTTCTCTTCGGAGATAAGGTCCTGAACAACAAATAGCAAAAAGGAAACATTATTGATGAATAGGCAAGTGCAATTGTAAACTTCATCATAGCTGGGATGGTAAATATAAACACTGGTAGATTGCATATGGGGGTTTGGGATAAAAAAAAAAAAAAGTTGATAAAATAACCACTATTAACATGAATTACAGATGCATCTGTCTCTAAAACACACTACAAAGCTACTTGTTTCATTAAGCTGTAACATCATTAAATCCCATGTGCTACAGAATTAAGACAGAGTTAAAACAAAAGGCTAAATTTTAGAAATAACTAGGTGAAGATATTATCAGTCACGGTAATAAAATTCATCATACCAGAAATAAAATTTTCCGTCTTCAGCTAATAGTCAATTTAACAATTTGCAACAAGACAGAAATCAACTGCCCTATGTACATCTGTGAACATGCAAGCTCAGCAGATTGATGCTTAATTTAGTAATAACCGTGTAAGATTTTTAATCCAGAGTAATTCCATGTAAGGAATAAATATGACAACAGGAAAATGAAATCATATTGTTGATATTGGTTCAAACGTTCAGCAACAAACGCAATTATACACTCAAATTTACAGCAGAGTGTTACATTACTTGACAATGCTCAAGTTTGCCAACAAGAAATACTCATAAGCAGCAGCCATAGAAGGAAAAGGTATGCGGTTCCCCCCGACTTAAAAAAGTGCGCACATAATTCAAACTTCGTGAAACCTCGTGTATATGATTCATAATATATTAAATCAGAATAATTGGTAGGCTTGTAGAAAATAATTAGTAAATTCACAGAAAATAAATCAGTTATTTCTTACAGAAAAATACACTTGTGGAAAATTATAATTCGCGTTCAACGCTTATGTTATAAACCTAGAGACTACCGTAAATTTCATCGTTCAACACAAAAAATTTTGGTTTTAAAGTACAACTGTTTGTGCCTTTATAGCCTTTCCTCAAGGCTTTTGTGAAATATAATGATACTGTATTCAAGAACCGCAAAGAGAGGTTAAAGAGAAATCGACCGCGCTCACCAGGAAAGAAATCTTGAAAGTTGGACGTGGTTTAAATTTCCGTTTTCGCGTAGAATAGGCGTAATATATTATCCGTTCTTAACATTACCATATTTGGGCACAAAGTTGTTCCCGTCTCATGCCGGCGTTGCAAAGCTGAAGAACCCTCGCATAATTTCCAGTTCAACGAGGCGACACTTATCATTTCCTCTATCAGAGGGTCATTCAAATTCGCTTGATGCTATCCTCTGTCACATTTACTTGGTTGAAAGACAACTTCTTAATCGTAAAGAGTACGAAAAGCCGTCCCGATATACCGTTGAGTTGCGTGACATGCAAAGAGAAACAGACCAGATTCGAAGGAATATTAATGATACTTCGCGACGAAATAAATTTTCACTGAAACTCAAGGCTCCACATTTCTAGCTCTAGAAGCTTGTGTCTTTTTCACCAGCTGTGAATGAATGTAATTTCCACTTTCCGCACTTTTAAGAGGAAATTTTACGGTTGAGAAAGCGCAGGCTAAAGCGAAGCTTCACCACAAATCTATTCGCAGATTTCAATATAAAAGCTTCAGTGTGATGCATATCTTCTTATCCGAAAAAAGAGGGTCCCACCAAATCAACGTTCACACGATATAACTAATTTTTGTCGTTGAAACTGACCGTTTTTTCGTTGTCTTTTAGTTTCGCACTAGATCGTATTGTTTTGGCGTGTTACCACCCACCAAACTCAAGCCACCTTATTTGCAGTCTTAGAGAGTTTCACTTCGATCCACCACTTTTGTCCTACCTTTATCGACAAAAGAGGGAAACCTATCGTTTGAGGTAACAATGACATAAAATCTGTTTCATATTTATCTTTAAAAAGCGGTTCTTACCTTGGGTTTCGATGGTACAATTTCTTGTATCAAGCACGCTTCGGTCCGACGGCAAAGATGTAAGGAAATGCGTAGAATACTCTTGAATGGGTCAGCGGTACAGAAACACCACGCCCCAAGAAGGTGGTGACAGGTGACTGACGTTCCAACTGACGTAAAGACAAATAATTCTGGTCTGAGTGCAGCTGAAAAATAGGTCTGCAATGCGTACAGGCATAGGCATAAATTGCATCTATTGCATGAGGCCGAAGTAACCTCGAACAGTTTAAATAAATGTTCTGAGCTCTCTTGGAATCCCATTTGCCAGTTTCTTGTATGATCTAGATGGAGTGGCCTGTTTTGGAGCCAAGCTTGACAAGAATTCATTTAACTTGTTTTTCTTTCGACTATGGGCGTTCTCCTTGCTTCTTAAAGAATACTGCTGGTTTGTTTCGGTCGAGGGGGATTGTCATCATTCGAAACACTTTAAATTTAAAAATTTCCGAGCAGGAAAAATCGAGGTTCCCTATCTTACAGTTCAGACCGAGAAAACGAGGTTAGTGAAAAATTTATCAGATCTCAGATCAAACAAAGGGGTAAGATTTCAATTCAAACAAACTTTTGAACTTTAAGGGCCGAACTACGGCTCGCTGAATTGACTAATCCTAGCGCACGTACTAACTGAGGGATGTAATGTTTAATGAGCACGACCGTTCCTAAAAGGAGATTTAGAACATGATGACTAATTAGGAGTTAGATATGACAACCTCGCACTTGAAGTTACAGATACTCCACATAAATTTATTCAGTCGCAGCACCTGCGTGCATCTTACATGAAACTATCTGCAAGGTCAGGAAACTCCCAGCCTAGTAGCCTACGAGCAGACCCCAATTACAGGCGCTTCATTTCGAGCTTTTCTTCGCTCGCAGCGAGAAATCGGTGAGGAGTCGAGCACGTAAAACATCATATCCCTAGCAAAACTGTCCCCGACTCGTCTCCAGTCTTCTCCGCGGGCGGAAAAACGCACGTCCTTTAATACTTAAAAGTGTCCCCTATACCTATCAGTAAAACTTAGTCACGTAAAAATATTCGGTTTTTTCATGCATCAAGAATAATATCCAAGACTCTCACGTCCACGCAAAATTCAAGACAATCACGTTGGAATAATATTTTACTTTTACAGTCTTGACCAGTCTTACGCGACAGAAGATGACGTAATGTCTTATCTTATTTGTTCAAGATCCGTTAGTGGTCTGTTTCAAGACTTCCAGCGATTCATTTGAAGTCCATCTCCTGTCAAAACCCTTGTTAAAATACGCGCATATTCAAAACAATATAGTAGCCAGAAAATTCATCACGTAAAATAAAATGGTTCACGTTTGAGTCAGCGCTTAATTCAGGGGTCTTGTTTGAATAAAAAAAAATTCGTTCTCGTTGACATGAAGAGATCTTATAATCTTTAATTACAATTCAAGAATCAAATCAATCACGCTTCACATGAAAAGTGTGGGGGGTCCTCATTAATCATGGAGGCCTGATGGCAAACTAACAACCTAAGCATCATTAACTAAAATGTCATCTGGGATTTTCACCAGCTGTCCTCGATAGTCGACACTACTTTGTCTTATTAGTACACTGGAAAGTTGTCATCTATATGCTTAGCCCATGCATATAGTCCGCCAGCAATGTCTTTAAACACAACATCCACTTGCGTGCTTGTGTATGGAACCGCTTGCTTGTTTTCATACTGAAGAAAGTCATCTTCACTGCGCAACAGTTTATTCGTGTTTCCGTCTAACATAGTTTCTCTTAATAACTTGACAGCTTTTTGTGAATCATTGCCTTGTTTGCAAAGTACATAAACTGCATTTTAACCAGAAAAAAAAGCGAACACACAGTTGAACCATCTGACTGGACTAAAAAGAGAGTTTCAAAAATCGTTCATCGGCTAAATTTCAGCACAATAAATATTGTGAACCTACCATTTACCGTAGATAGTTTTTTCTCGTTGTCAGCCAGGTTCAATATCGCTTGCATTAGCACATCTTGTTGGTCAGGGGAATGGAGAACTCTCAAGGGAATATCTTCCAAGTTGTTTCAATTAAGAAATGCTATATTTTAAATCTGTGGAGAAGCGGTGGCCTCAGGTTTCACCCTCTGACCCCCTAAGAGTGACAAGCATCTAATTTACCCTTGCAGTATCACCCCTGAATCAAACACCAAGGTCATGAACGTAAAGGAAATGATCACCAACTAAAAAAAAAGCTGTTGATTGTTACACAAATTCTCTTCGTCAGCACCTTTGGAAATGTATAAAGAACAGTACGGAGAATATGCATACTGATGTTAAAATGTAGAGGTTTAATGCGCTGAACTGAGGGTCAAGACTTGCAGAACCCGTTTCTCAAAAGTTCCGGTAACTTAACGTACCTCTAAGCGTATTTTAAAATCAAATTTTAAAGAGAACAGAGAAGCAAGTTTTGGCACTCTAACCAGTCCATTTTGTTTCTCTACCGAACAGTTTTATTGTATAATTTTCAAAACCTTTTAAACCCCATCTTGAATGAAAACAATTTAGCTCTAAGGACCAGCTAACTTACGGGACCATTGTGAAACGGGTCCTTGGCCGGATCACTATGTTGTGTTTTCTGGGGAAAACACTAAATGGGTATCGGCGAATTTTCACCTTGCCGAGGAAATGAAATGCTGAGGGGGGTAACCTTGCGATGGACTAGTATCCCATCCAGGGGTGAGTAGAGATACCGTGATAAGTTCCGGCTGAGTGGGCCACTTTACCTTTTAAATGTTGCTTAGACGGTTACCTTATAACTGCGATGATTCTGCGTTGAAACTACTTTTTGTAAGCCATGATTCTTGAAAACAAAACAAAAACAAATTTCTACTCGATAAAAATTTTTAAAATATATATCTTTGGATACTAAGCGACTCCACTGGAAGTGAACAAATTTCTAACTCCACAGGTTCCCTTACGTCCAGAAGAATATGAGGGCTGCACTCGTCAATAAACCGCTTATATTCCTGAGGAAGAAGAAAAAAATTTTCCTCGGCGAATTTGTTGACTGAATTCCTGCCCGCGAGCTAGTCTTCGTTATCAGCGCTTCCGCAAAAGCGTTTCTTAGCCCGTAAGAAAGTATGAGACTTAAAACAACATTACCCGTCTTGAGTTCTGCAAGGTGCCTAGCACTGATAATGAGTTATTAGTGCCAAACCCCCGGTAAACCTTTCCCCGACTCGCCTCAAATCTTCCCCGGGCGGAGAGACACGCGAGGGCTTGCTTGTAAACTACTTCAAAAGTTACCCGTCCGTTTTACGATACAGTATTGGAATTCAGTGTTGAGTAAGATTCTCTCAACTTTATTTGAAACTCAGGGGTTAGTCAATCTAAAAGAAGAGTTATTGGCAGCAACTCCCTAGACTGATTAATTTGTGAGTCACTGCTCTGATATTGTCGCTTTGACCGTTGAGAGTGACTAGCATCTAATTTCTCCTTACAATAACACCCCTAAATTGCACATTGTAAAGGAAATTATCACCAAATAGAGAAGCTCTTGATTGTTAAACAAATTCTCCTTATTACCATATAAGGAAATGTATGGGGAAACAATATGGAGATTGAGTATATTGGTGTTAGGTTGCAGAGGGTTAAGTGCCAAGTTTGAGCTGAGGTTGACTTTACCTGCACAGAAATTCTTTGTTGTTTCTGCAGAATTTCCAAAGAAGGGGTCTAAAAAAATAAACTCATGTCAGAGAAGATAACAAACTTTTAAGTTCACCCTTTAACGCCCAAGATCTGATTGTTAAGTCTCCCCTCTTGCTGCTACACATTTTCTTGAAAAAAGTTATGAGAATTTGCTGTTAGATTAAGATAATAACTTCAACCTGAGAAGTTTGAGTATTCTCGTGACCTGTTGGCTGGATAATGTTGGATAGTATGGGAAGAAGTTATATGTTAGTCACTTCTGGGAGTTAAAGGGCTAAATGAGATTTGTAATGCAATGCACCGTGGTGCAAAATAGAGAGAACACAGCAAATGGTAAATAGGATTACAACAGAACAATCATTTCAATCTGTTTTCTGCTCTGTAATGCTACTAAACACTTTTCACCCAAACATCAGTATACATATTCTCCATTCGATTATCTACACTTTTCCTTTGATACTGACAAGGAGAATTTATTTAACAATCAAAGCTGTTTAGCTTGGTGATCTTTCCCTTCATTCTCATGATCTAAATGAATGATTCAGCAGTATTACTGTAGGGAGGAATTTGATGTCGGTCACTCCAAGGTAAAAGGTGAATTGCTTGTACTACTAAAAGGTCAAACAGAAAAGTATTCTAAGAGTGATAAGCATCTAATTTTTCCCTAAAGTATCATGCCCAAATCAAACATTATGGTTATGAGAATAAAGGAAATGATTACAAACTCAAGATGCTCTTGATTGTTACACAAATTCTCCTTATAAGAACCATAGGAAGTGTATAGGATATGTAATAGTGTAGTTTGATTGTCCGGGTGAGTGTAGTCCTGAGAAGGACTGTTGTCGGTAATGGTCACCATTAACGACAACAGTTCTTCTCAGGACTACACTCACCTGGATGATCAAACTACACTGTTACATGTTACCCCCGGGTTCAAACCATTTACTGTATAGGATGTGTTGTGTAGAATGTGTATGCAGATGTTACAATGCAAAAGGGCTGAAAAACTAAATATCTGACAGGGCCAAATTAAAGCCCCAAAGTAATTGAAAAGGATGAAAAAAATTAATTTTATAGCCTCAAGTGTGAGAAAACACATATTGCAAAGTAATCAGCTTTTGGCGTTGCATTCAAATGCTCAGAGAGTATGGTGTAAGTTTTCAAGACAAATCATAACAAATTCAATCCTAAAAATTGCAGATCAATGTCAGTATCTGAGCAACTGCATATCTACCCCTCCCCTGTTACCCAACAACAGTCAACTGAAAAAAAGTCAAGGTTAATGTTGGATTAGGGGAGGGGTAGGTGTGAAGTTGCTAGGATGCTGACAATGATCCAAAACTGCATTGAAATCAACTGAGAAGAGCTCTTTATGGTGGTACTGCTACGAATGTCAACATAACTGTTACAATAATTATTTCATTCTATAATACAGTGTCCTTACTAAATTGTACCTTATCTGTTGCTGAAGCTCCACAAAAAAGTTCATAATCCATTAACTTTATAATTGATGGATTGTCTCCACAAATGGCACAGTTTGACTGCCTGGGACGTAATTTTATTGTTAGAAATCTGCCCTCCAGAGCATCATAAATCAACATCTTCTGAGAATAGGAGGCTGTTTTATGAGAACAAAAGTTAAGGGAAACATATAAAATACATATTAACTAAATTATATACAATTAATCATTTTTGGTTACCTTCAAGTTTTCTTAAGATTTAACATTAAATCAATTCAGTTATTCTTACTAACTCCATATTAATTTTTTTTCTCTCCTATATGCAAAACATTAATTAATTAATTAATTAATTAATTAACCCTTAATTACCATGGGTGACCAAGACAGAATTTCTCCTTGCAAAATCAATACAATATCAAACAAACAGTGGATATCAATAAGGGGATTATTTGGTGACATCAATTTGGGGATTTTAGCTGATATCAATTAGGGGATAACTAGATGATCCAATACCAAATTCTCCAATCCTCAGAATTGTATAGCAGATAATATTAAGGAGAATTGATTATGAGATCTTGGAAGTGAAAGGTATTTCTGACTCATGAAAATGGCTATCAAAACAGCTACATTATTGAGTGTAAGAATTGGAGCATGTAGCCACCTTACAGAAATGAATGGGAGTATGACTGTCTTTTCTAGGAATTGTGAAAATTATGCAGAAATCCATGTATTTTTTTTTCAGTGAGGGGGGAATTAAACAAATTAAATTTCCATTTTTCAGTCATGATAATTTCAACATTCAGACACCTTTCCTTATAAATTCACAAAAAAATACTAACTGACAAACTTGATGAAAGGATACATTTAATTCCAACAATTATCTTTATTGCCTCTAAGGCTTGTAATGTTCCAATAACTCCTGGTACTTCAAAACATCAATAAATAAAACAAAACAAAGTTACATAACTGTTAATACTGTATCTGGTGTAGTTATTAGCTCTTTAAGTCCCACACATGATTTATATGTATCTTCTCCCTTTATTGTTGATACATTATCCAGCAAACAGGTTACGAGAAAACTCAAACTTAGTAGGTAGAAGTTGTCATTATCTTGATCTATCACCAAATTTTTGTAACTAATTTACAAAGAATTCTGTCATAGCTACAGGGGAGAATTAAAAATCAAAGTTTGGGAGTTAATGGGTTTACTCAAAGAATGCATGACACCAAGCAATTTGTTCCAAGACAGATTGATGAGGTTTACTATTTACATATATTAACAAAAAAAAAAATTTTCATGCATTCATGTTGACATAATCTTACCTGGTCCCAGAACTCCATTATCTGAACAATTTCCAACTGATTCTGGTGGAGGAGGTTTGGGAAATAGGCAGCGGTAACATGGACCTCCATCATGGTTATAAACTGTCAGCTACAACATAAATGAAATAATTTTCTTGTAAAATAAGAATTCTCAAATACCAATGGAAAGTTTTCTCATTACATAGTAAATGTAAAAAATGTAATTTCAACAATAGCTGTTAGTGCATGCATAAAAAATAAATTTTGCTAATGCTTTCTTTTTGCACCTTTTGATGAGAACAAGCAAAATCTTTGATTTTTAAACCCACTAATTTTTTTAAATTAAAAGCCACCTTACTAAGTTAAACTTGTTCGTAGACAAGTTGTTTGACATATCCACAAGAGTTTGCATCAATTCATGCTAATATTGAACAGCTGCTTCTGGAGCAGAGGTGGCTTGTGGTGGATATTTACAGAGCTGCGAAGGCAACCTTTATTATCTGATTCCTGTGACTGACAGAGCAAATCAAAATCTGTTCTCACTGAGGGTTTGGTCCAAAAAATGATCTTCATCTTACCTGTCCCTCAAACCTTAGAGCACTTCCAGAGACTAATGGTTTACCAGCCAGGATACATGCATCATTCAAGAGGTATCTGGTAAAACAGTACCAAGGACCAGTTATAAGTCTTTCCAAAAAGACAGCATCTCATTCACAATTAGGTTACAAATGACCCTACAAGGGTATAGCTGGGATTTTCCAGAGGGAAGAGGGCACTGTGCCACACCCACACTATTTACCCTACCTACCTAATGTCATGTCAACAGCAACATTAATTTTTTTTTTAACCCTTCAACTCCCAAAAGTGATTAACATGTAACTTCTTCCTATAATATCCATACATTATTCAACAAACAGGTTATAGAAATTCCCAAAATTATCAGGTAGAAGTTGTTACCTTCTTCAAATTTATCACACAGCTATAGAACTTCCAGCACATACCATACCAAGTTGTACCAAGTTAACTAAATTGTGTAATTAACTCTACCATCACTGACAAGCTGTTGATTGGAATTACTACTGGAGCCTAGACAACCTTACCTTGTGGCCACATTGTCTGTTGCATCTAACACAACATCATATGTTTTCCAATTAAGGATCAAAACATATTCATAGCAATTCTCTGGACAAATGAACCGGATGGTATCTAATCTTTTTTATTAGTTACAAGGTTAAAATTACTTCTTTTTTCAGCTTAACCAAAGTATTGAAATTCAAGGCAAGTACTTTGTAGGCTGGAGAAACTTAAATAAGTGGGCTAAAATGACTAACTAGTTATATACTGAATGATGTTTTTCGTCTTGTCACAAGGGTGAGATTAAGAAAAAATTGTGAGTCCCTACGAGGAATTAATTGAACCTTAAACCTTCAGAATCAGCACTCTGGAATCTTTGTCCCATGCTCGTAACAAGATGAAGAACACCTTTCTCTATTTATTTCCCAAGCTCAAAGTTTACCATCTCTCTTATTCTATGTGCAAACATGACATTATTCGGACACAACACTGCTGATCCTTGCAGTATGCAGGATGAGTGTCATGTACAAGCTGCACAGTGGTCCTTGCTCACCATAGAATCTCTTTAGCTTATTGGTAAAGCTTCGGAGCAAGGAATCTGAAGGTCTGAGGTTCAATTCCTTGTGGGGACTCAGAATTCTTTCCTTGTCCCACACTCGTGAAAAGACCAAGATCATCTTTCCCTGTTTCTTCAATAAGCTCAAAAAAAAAAAGAAAAAAAATTTGCCATCTCTCCTTACAAGTAATATATAGCTATATACCAGCCTATACATGTACATTGTGTGAAAGGATATTTCTGAATTATCTCTAACGCATTGCCACTTGAAAGCTGTGTGGAGTATGGAATGCAAGAGACAGAGGAGTTTAACCTAACAGCAAAAAAAGTCAAAACAATGTTTGGGTAATGAAACAGAGTAACAGACCCATGTTTTGATTAGTCCCTATTCAGTGGACATCAATTCTACACTCAAGATCTCATTAGTAATTCTCCTTACTGTCTGTCATACAGTTCTTATGATATTAATTCAGAGAATTTGGTATTGGATCAACTTGATATTTTTTTCTTTATTCTCATCACTTGTCTGCTTGATACTGTATTGATACTGCCATGACAGATTTGGATTTTAACATGATAATGGAATTGTTTGATGATGTGTAAATGACTAAAAAATGATTTGTGTCATTATTTTTATTAACCGTTTAGATGTCAAATTTACTTACTGCTGAATTTGTATCTTTATTGACTCTGCCTTTGAGGTATTTACTCTACTCTCTGTATGAAGTACTTGTCTGTGCAGATTGCTTATCTCAACTGTATCATAGTCCACAATACCTATGCATCCTACACAAAATAAGTAAAAGGTTTAGTTTTGCACAAGAAAAAGAAGACAATAAATTTAAGACCTTGTTCAAATTATCATTTTCATTTGTTTTTTTGTATGACTATGTATGGCAATGAATTTGAAACAAAGGGAAATACCGTTGCTTGCATCTAAGTGTGATCAAATGACACTGAAACATTTGTTTGATGACCAATCATGGCATGTCTGACACCCAATCTAATCATGTTTTGGTATCATGTTTATGCTTATATACACACAAAACTGAGACATTTAAGCTAGATTCCATCATTGTAATAGGGGCTGTTTTTGAGACAAAACTGAAAGGACTGTACTTGACAAAAGAGTAATATGAGACATTACAGGAGTATTTTTTTTAACTCATGAGTGTTTATAATTATGTAAAAGACTGTCATTCCTTGGATTCTTTTCCCCACTCTATCTAATTCCCTAATACCTTAACTTACTGAATGTCATACCTACTCCAGCAGCAGCTAAATATTGTGCCACAGGGCATCCAAGACCTCCAGCTCCGACTACCAGCACTGAAGCATTACATAGCTTCATCTGTCCTGAAGAACACAGTCACAATAAAAAAAGAAAGGAAATAAATTTAACAAATCAGTAACCCACCAAGTTTTGGACAAAATTATCATAACTAAGGAAGTTGTCTCTTTCTCTCATTGCTCCCACACTTAAACCTTTAACTCCTAAGAGTGACTAAGACAAACTTTCTCCTTACAATATGATTACAATATCAAGCAGACAAGTGAGGAGAATAAGGAAAAATATCAGTTAGGGGATTATGAGTTGATCCATCACCAAATTCTCCAAACTAACACCAAAAGAACGGTATGGCAGACAGTTAAGAAAATTGCTTAAGAGATCTTGAGAGTTAAAGGATTAAACTGCATACCTTTCACGCCAATCTCGGACAAGATAAGCTGTCTGCTGTAGCGTAAAATTTCATCTTTTGTAAGCCTTTCTTTTTTCTCTGGTTTTACAACATTTGGAGAATTTGACGCAGCTGAACGCGAGTTTGAAGCCTTGTACTCTTTTTCCTAGAGACGAAAATAGAAAAGAAACTCGATCTACGTCAATAGGAAAATAAACATAGCGCCAATCAGCTGGTTTCTACAACAAATATATTTTTATGAACGACACACTCAAAATGAGATTGTATTGCAAAATAACAACAAAATTTACAAAAACTTTCATTACGGTGTCATTTTAAAGGGAACTAACCTTGAGTGCAAACAAATTTTTCAAGGATTCGAGTTCCAAAGATTTTCGTTCAATCTCTCGCCGCAAAGCTTCTATCTCATCCGCCATTTTGAATCTACCAAACAATTAGTACTCAATCTCCCTTGAGTAATCTTGCATGGTTACCAAGCTTTGAAAACAAGATGGTGGAATCTTTTGGCATGTGAGCACCTTGAAAGTCCACAATGTTTTCAAGGCCTGCAGCCAAAGATACTGAAAATGATCTACTTATGCTGCAAGAGAAATTTGTTACAGGTCGTTTGAACCCTGCAGCAGCCGTTGTTCGGTCGAACACAAGCGAGGAATCTCGGTCACTAGGGGAAAAGAGAGACGCACCATGCGACGTACAAGTTACAAGAGACGTCGTCACGTTACAGGGTGAGGATAATGAAGTCTTTGAGACGAAGTGCTATTACCTCAACTTAAGTTAAATATTGAATAGATTTATTAAGGTAATAAAATGGTTTGGATTTGGTTTAATTATGCATGCGTGCATTCTGTTTTGACCTCCATGTAGAGTTTCGCTGAGGCTTTTTATCCAGTGTCAGATTCAGAGGGAGTGTTCTATCAACACCCCTACCCCTCCTCCTCCCCCTCCCACCCCAAACATGTTTTTTTTCTACTTGTCTAACAGCAAAACTCTTGTAATGACAAGAGGGCAAATTTCTGCTGAACAGCTGGCTGATGTTTTTCGTGTCACAGAGAGCGAAGAGGGGCATAGGTTGGTGGAAAGTGATTTTGGACTACCCCTGTTAAAAAATTCTGAATCCACCTCTGCTATGGGATCAGTCCCTTAGCTTATTAATCATGGCTGAATTAATCATATAGGAGGAGATGCGCAAATCTGTTTCAGTACATAAATATAACTGTATGACAACCTTTACCCTTTCATATCTGTCATCTCTCTGTGCCACCCAACCCCAACCCCTACCCACAAACATTAAAAATGTCAGACCAGAACACAGTATTAGTGTCTTTTTCCTCTTCTGTTTTGTGGAGGAGAGTTTTCCTTGACACATGTATCCCCAAGTACAATGGTATGTTGGGATAAAAGTCAATTTTTTGGTACTTTGGTCAATTTTTTAACTTTTCCTACACATGTTCGTGTTGCCAGGGCTTAACTAATATATTAAAGCTCTTCAAGTGACATTTCATTACCTTCAGGTCTTCCAGCAGGACAACCATCCAGCAGATTAGACTCTGGATTCCCACCAAAGAAGAAATCAAGATTCAAAACAAGACATCAAGAGACCTTTGTAGGTTCCTGCCTTGGCATAGTGTTCTATCCGGGCAAAAATATCTTTAACCCTTTAACTCCCATGAGTGACCAAGAAAAAATTTCTCCTTACAATATCAATATAATATTAACCAGATGAGTGATGAGAGTAAAGAAAAATATGAATTTGGGAAAAATTAGTTGATCCAATATTTAATTCGCTGAACTAATGTCATAATGATTGTATGGTTGACAGTAAGGAGAATTACAAATTTGATCTGGGTTAGAAGGTTAAGACTGCCCAAGATGTAATTTCATTGTTGTACATGTAAGTATAATAGGTTATTACCTTAGTTTCTAAATATTTTTCTGTATCCTGTACAGAAGAACAAAAGGCAACATGGCGAAGAGGAAATGGACTGTGAAGAACTTCTTGACAGTGAGTTTTATTATTAAGTAATAAGAGCAAATTTGTGGCAATTATGTTAGCAGAGCTTGGATAAAGCTTGAGTACACAATAAAAAAATACTGTAACATTACAAACATACAAAAATGTATGCAATTTTCCAAATTCAAATTTGTTTCTTGATCTTTTAAAAATTTTGGCTGATGTAAAGATTTGAATGTTGCCCTACTTTTTTCTTACATTTTATAGTTCACGACAGGCATGTAACTTCAGTGCTGTCTCAGATTCAGGTTAGTAACAATGGCAAGATTTCTTTCTTCAGGATGATAAGTACTCCACATATGTACTTGATGTGGGCCATCAATTCTCTACTAGTTTGTTTTACTGGAATCAAGTGTCCATGGTAGATCTTAAATGACAAAGATATTAAGAGTGTCCTGATTGGTCAAAAACTTATTGTTTGTTATTCCAGTACATCCAAAGAAAATCTATGTTTACAGTAGCAATAGACCACACATTCTATCACCTCCAGCTCCTGATTTTTTCATGATGTGTTCTCCCAACACCCTGTGTGTGTGTTATTACACCTGAAAACCTACAGAAAATCCACTCTATTGCTCTATAAAAAGACGTGTCTTGAAGAGGGCTTAACTTATTACTGAGTGTAGACTATTTGAAAAAAATTGGTAACTGTATTTAAAACACAAGCTCTGCCTTAACAAAAGAAGATCTTTCAGTAGGATGTTACATCTTTTTTACACAAAACGAGTAGTATCCAAATTATTAACACTAAGAAACATAGCATGTGCAGTTGTTATTAAGAAAAAGAAAAGGGTTTTAAAGAATCAGGCTTAAATTACTCATCATCCAAACCTGCATTTTGCAGAGTGGCAGAGGTAATTTTTGAGGTGGCCCATATTTTGCTGAAGCATGATCATTCTTGAACCCTTGGAACATACAATTATATGACTTTCCATGGAAAATTAATTAATCACTTTCAATGCACAGGTTGATCAAGGTTGAATCTTGTCATATCTTTACTATCAGTTATCTTTTTTATTGAGTGACTCCCTGTAAAATTCTTCAATTCTCTATAGGAGAAAGAGATTGGTAACAGAAGTATTGCTACTCCAAGAGTGTCTGAAAAAGGATTTCCCATGGTTCTCCATCGTGGAAACATCAGTGAGCAAGTGAGAAAGACTTAACAAATCTTCTTCTTCTTAGTTAGAGTCAGAGGGCAAACTCTCGAAATGTCAGCCTTTGACCCTTTAACTCCCATGAGTGACCAAGACAGAATTTCTCGTTACAATATCACTACAATATCAAGCAGACAAGCGATGAGGATATAGAAAAATATTAACTAGGGTATTAGTAGATGATTCAATACCAAATTCTCCAAACTAACATCACAAGAACTGTATGGCATACAGTAAGGAGAATTACTCATGAGATCTTAGGAGTTAAAGGGTTAAACTCTTTACGGTGGCCTGAGTTTATGTTTGACTTATCAACTCAGTTGATAGGTATGTTGTAGTTTGAAACAGTTTCAGGTCAACATCAATTTCAATCTTGTTTTATTTAGATTTTTCTTTGTTCAAGGTCCTTCGTAATTTACTTGGAACAGAAATAATTTGAAACCATTTTGGCCTGAACTTAATTTTGACCTGAAATTAATTTTTCAATACAACATGTAAACCATTTTTTGTTTACTTCATGCAAATTCTTGATCATGCACAAATCTGTTTAGGTCCCTTTTGACTCCAAATGGTTTTTTTCCCTTTTTTCTGCAAACTGAGATTTATTGCATGTGGTCTTTATTACAGAATGTGTCATCAAAAGAAACCATTTCTCAAAGCAGAAAAAGTTTGTTTGCCCAGCAATTTGCTGCATCAGGTGCAGTCACATTTGGTGTGCCAAAACACCAAAAAGACAATTTACAGAAGACAATAGAGGAGGTTACAGTTACCCAAGCAGGTTCTTGTCCAGTGAAATATCAAAAGTCCTCCTTGATTTCTGGAGAAGGTCTGGCACAAGGTTCAGAGAGAAAGACTTTGAAGGACAAGGCAGTTGATGAAATCCACAAAGAGAACGTAGCTAAGCTGGAAGCTATGACACATAAAGAGATCATGGAGGAGCAAGCCAGGATAAAATCAGCACTGGGTGAGTTTACATTCTGCTTCTGTTTGCATTGTGTTGCACAGTTATACTATGTTCCTGAGGAAGTGATTTGCTGATCCTCATTGGTGAGTTTGCAACTGAAGAATTTATAGAAATAGAACCCTTTACATCCCAAGAGTGATAAGCATCTAATTTCTCCTTGCTGTATCACCCCTGAATCACACACTTAAGGTCACAAGAATACAGAAAATTATCAGAATAAGCTCTTGATTGTTAAACAAATTCTCCTTGTTAGCACCTAGAAAATGTATAGAGAACAGTATTGAGAATATGCATACTGATGTTAGGGTACAAAGGGTTAACATCAGTATGCATATTCTCCATTCTGTCCTTCATATATTTCCCAGAGAGCTGGCAAGAAGAATTTGGATGCAAGCACTTTAAATCATATGACAGATGATTTCATTGATATAAAATATATTCCATAATTTTAGGGTACAAAGGGTTAACATCAGTATGCATATTCTCCATTCTGTCCTTCATACATTTCCCAGAGAGCTGGCAAGAAGAATTTGGATGCAAGCACTTTAAATCATATGACATATGATTTCGTTGATATAAAATATATTCCATAATTTTCCAAATTCATGGGTTTTTTTTAATTGATATATATTATTGGTGTTATATTAGAAAAGCGTTATTATTAGAGCATGAATCCCATTTGTGGTTGTGCTAGATTCTTAACTGTTGGCTACACTTGTTGGTAGTCTAAATATTCATTTAGATTTATTGATTTGACTTTTGTTACCTACAGATCCAAATCTTGTTGCTTTTTTGACATCAAGACACAAAAGAACAAGGGTTGAGGCAATGGATACAGCTTCAATGGAAGAAAAACAAGTTGGTCACAAGAACAGTAACAACCCTACTGGAGAAAACATAGGCCAAGTTGAAAAACAGGTCCAATTCAATGAAAATGTTGAAATGATCAAAGAGGGAAATGAACAGAATAGAATACAAGAAAAACAGTCAAGTGAAGTGAAAAAGATTGGAGATGTTGAAGTCTCTAGCAAATGGCTTCACATGGACACTGTGGAATATGAGAAGCTAGAATGGATGAAAGATTGCCCTCCACCAAGCGCTCTGGAAAGCAAGGTGATGAAAAATTCCAGAAGAACGCAAGGCAATAATCGGCTCAGGTCTTGTACCCAGATTTCTTGACAGGTGGTCCTGCATGGTAATCATTAGCCTAAGGGCTTAACCCTTTAACTACCAGGAGTGATTACCATGCAATCTTCTTCCTAAGGTGTCCATACATAATCCAACAAGCAAGTAGTGAGAATACTCAAACTCGTCAGGTAGAAGTTATTACCTTGATTGAACACCAAATTCTGGAAACCAATTTAAAAGGAAATATGTAGTAGCTAGAGGGAAGAATTGACAATCAGATCTTGGGAATTAAAGGATTAACACCCCACTTTTTCCTTTAAAGCTCCAGAAATCAAGATACATGTATGTAAGCTCTGGTAATTTAGCCACTTGGGATTTATTTTTGCTGGAATCTCTCAAATTTGAGGACACATTCTGAACTTCTCGTTCTAACAGGAAGGAAACCAAGCTCGTTTTGACTTCAATGGCTGCTTAGTTTCAAAAATGGATGACATCCCAGTGTACCATGGTCTTCATCACCATGGTAAGGACCCAAGCTCTCCAGGCTATACACTAGAAGAACTCTTTATTCTGGCCAGAAGCAGCTTCTTACAGCAGCGTGTGTTGGCTTTGCAAGTTTTGGCCAAAATCATGAGACAGGTACTGTTGGTGTATTTTTTAATTAGTAATTAATGAAAATGAATATTTTCCACTGATTTGCTTTTGGGAAACATGCACCCCATGAAATAATTCCTTCTGATTTCACATCAATAATGATCGGCAGACATTGTACAAGCTCAGTGTATATATATTAGGTATTTGCTCAGATTTTTAACAATTACTCACCCAAGTGGAGGTGAATAATGGTAGATATTTACCCTGTCGCTTTGCAGTTCAGTACTAAATATCCACCACTTTCACTGACATTGAGGTAAATAATAATTTTTGTTTTAGTGAATAACACCCACAAAGCAAATAAATTATTTAGTTTATTTGTGCCAACATACCAAAAATGGTTGGAAATTAAATTGTTGTGCCATTTTGCCTCTTCGACTGCTAATCACCTGCTAATTACTTCTGGGGCAGCCACTCAGCATGCGTAAAAAGCACATGTGGTATATACCACATAATGAGATATCTGGCCAGTAGTCTATTCACAGCAGTAATTTAATAAGAATTGTCATGGGAATAAATTCTAATCCAGAAGCTCTCTTGGTCCAAACCCCAATGAAAATCCCTGTCGAAGTGCTAAACAATATGTTATAATTTCCAAGTCCAATGGAAACCTTTTTCATACTCCCTTTCAGGATCAAATGGGAGCATTTCAAGGACATCTTCAGGGTGATGTGCTGTCTGCACTACTGGATGCTGGAATCCTGTTCCTTCTCAGATGGTCATTGGATGACACAACAGATGCTGTCATGGCTGCTGCTACACAAGGATTAGCAGCCATCCTCATTGTGCCAAGTGATAAGGTAAATGTAATAACCTGATATATTTCTTCATTTTTCACTTGCTAAATCTAAGGCCTATGTCTCTTAATTTCAGGAATTAGCTGACAAGATGTGTGGTTTTCCACGAGGACAAGAGCTTCCAGCACTCTCTCCTGTCAGGGAAAGCAAAGAACAAAATAAACAGCTCAGGAAGGATGAAAAGGAGGAGGAGAACAATCTAACTGATGCTGAATTATTGAAACAGGATGTTGTAAAAGTAAGAAGATTACAGAATTGAGTTGTTTTTACACTGACAATTCTTGATGCCAGTTTTTAGATCATGTTACACAAGTCAAGACAAATTTTAGATAAATAAAACTTTGTTGATGAAATGGTCAGCAGAGTGAACTAGATGAGATGATTTTGCAGTACCATTTCTCCTCCAATAAGCGATGACAGGAATAACAGTGAAGGCAAAGCAAGCCTAAAACAGTAGAAACTGTTTTTAGACAAGTTGTACAGGATCATGGTAAAGACTCTGAAACAGTAGAAACTACAACAGATGCTTGAGGAGTGATTAAGTTTTATTAATCTTACGTGTAAAATGTTCATATTTCAGAATATTTAGGGTTGGAAATCGGCTGTATTTCATTTGCCATACAATTCCTCATAATGTGTTCAAATTCTCAATGGTCCCTTGCGTATCTTAACACCATGCCATACAACATGTGACATTTTCATAAATTGATCTGTGGCTTTTTCTCAAGACTTGAGCTTGGGATGCTTGTGGTATAACATGAACTTAAGGAACTCTCCTACTTTTACTAGCTATCCCCAATTGGTTAGGCAGTATGCATTATAACATTGTGAATTGATCTACCACCTTCCTTCAACAAGCACACCTTTCTATTTTTTTTCTATTTTTTTTTTTTTTTCAACTAAAGTCCTTATTATGTGAGAACCTTAACCCTCACTCCTTTGTGTCCTTTTGGGATTGATAGACAGAGCCATTTATTATTAAATAATTAATAATTAAAACTGATCCACCATTAATATTAAACCTTGTAAAATCTTATTTTTGAGGGCTTGATCCAGATGAGTATTTTACCAAGACTAAGATACATCTTAGAGGTCTGTCATCCTTCTGTTCTGGTAGTTCATGACATCCTAGATGTACTGACGAGAATATCGCAGCATTCAACACAAGCTGCCAATGAAGTACTGCGGTGCCCCAGACTTATGGAAACCATCTTTACTAACTTTCTTCCCCTCTCGTGGAAAATGTCTGAGCTGGATAGTGATGCTGTATATGGTGTTCCTGTCAGTGCAGCCATGAGACTTCTGCGGACAGTCTGTTGTGCAGGAAGACACATGGCTGCAACTTTGGTAAGTTCAGTTCTGCTATTATTCATATCCTAAATGGTAAAGCCAGCTTACAAGACAGGAAACCCATTTTTCCCAGAATTTATTGTGACTTTTTAATCAGTGTTGTGAAGAGACTACAAATATTGTTACTCCCTGTTGATGGATGCAGATTTACCCTTTAGTCTTTGCTCAGGCCTCTCTGTTAATTCACTAGACTGGAGAGAAGCACTTTGATTGTAAAGTGTATTGCCTAAGAATACAGCGCATTGTCCAGACACCCCTCGACCTTGAGGTTTTGAGCAGGAGGTCAGTGCACTAACTGTTAGACATTCCCTTTACACTGGAAAATTAATACAAGCACCTAAATAAGCATCCTTGAATTTTAAACAATTTCTTGAATCAAAGTGCACCTGGCCAGTACAAAACTTAATAATAGGCTCAAATTGAACAGAATTTCTATGGTGGTCTGTTTCTTGTATTACAAATGCTCTCTGTCTAGCTACAGATGAAGAAAATTGCAAGGGTGAAAATATATATGCTATCTGTTGAGTGTTCTAGTAAATTTTGTACTTCGTGGCAGATCTCAAAGTACAATTTGACTGATCGACTGATGCGCTACACTGCTCTGAACCCCAGGAACATGCAAATGGCACTGCAAGAGGCTTATTCATTATACACTGAAAGTTTAAGAACATGGAGGGTCTGTGTGTTGTATGGCTTGGGCTGTGATGCTGTTAGGTGAGCTACAAGCTTTCAATTTCCACAAGATATATTGGGATAATTAAGGAAACTAGGACGGGTGCGACAAGTTTTGTTTTAATTAATGAGTAAATCAAAATAGACAAGTTGTACAGGATCGTGGTAAAGAATAAGGCAGAAATGATTAAAACCTTAAACCAAATGGTGACCAGCATCTAATTTCTCCTTGCAAAAATACTGCTGAATCATTCATTAAGATCATGGGGATGAAGGAAATGATCATCAACATAAGAAGCTTTGATTGTTAAACAAATTCTCCTTACCAGTAACAAAAAAAAGTGTATAGAAGAGTATGGAGAATTTGGATGGTAAATGCTATAGTGTCAAGAGTTAACCCTTTAACTCCCATACATGACTAGCATGAAACTTCGCCCTATAATATCCCCACATTATCCAGCAAACAGTTTAAGAGACTACTCAAACCTATCCTGGGTAGAAGTTGTTATCTTGATCTACCACCAAATTCTCTTAACTAGATTATAAAGAAATGTGTTGAAGCTAAAGGGGAGAATTATGGGTCAGATCTTGGGAGTTAAGGGTTTAACGTTCCAAGGTGATGATCTTTCTTCAGAACTCTTTTTTATTTCCTGCAGGGAGATGTACTCAACATTTATTGAACAGCTGCAATCAATTCAAACTCTTTCCATTTTGATGACAATGCCTGAGGAAAGATTGGAACTCAACTGTGCAGCTGCCATATTTGGTGTAATAGAAGCAGTCATTCAGGCTGCTGCAGCAGCTGCTGACCAGCAGGTACCAGCAGAACGTCATGGGATGGACTCTCTACCACCTCTGGCAATTAACTGGAGTCATGTGACAGGATTTCTACCTCTGATTGGTGGATGTGTAAATAAGTGGGCCAAGGAGATACTGGGTTGTGGTCAAGGTCTTAAAGATCTCCAGGTATGACTGATGCTTATTTGATTTATAGGGTAACCTATGAATTTTGCATTTGCTTTTGCTTTACTGGGCTTTTCCTTTAGGAACTTCGGCTATTTAACCATGTGAATTGTAGTCATTTATTGTTTTCTAGGCTGTAGACTTTTTAAGATAAGAAATAAAGCTAAAATAAAGCCAAAATGTGTCAGTTAGGTTCTTCATATCAGGTCAGATAATGATGAACTACTAATTTATTGAGTTGTGTGTCAATCCCTGTTTCCCAGTATGAAAACCTCTGTCTCCTGTCAGGAGCTTTTGCTGGTTTGGTGGCTTTCTACTCGAAACTTCACGACCAGGTTGGTGTTTGTCTCTTCTTTTTTTTTGCCTTTTCCTAACCATGTCATTGTATTTATGCCTAATGCTGCCTGTGTGAACTGATTTAACTTGGCATAAATCTGCTTGATCACAGGTATCCCACTCTCCTGTGGAGACTCTACAGCAGTTAGAACACTTAACCAGTACTGTGCTCCTTCCAGTGGTAGAACATCATGTCCTGGACTGGTGTTTTACACAAATCAGGTAACTAAAATTTTTGTGAATTAATGTGAGGTGCTCGTTTGAACATTTGCAGTACATTTGCTATCAGGCATCATTAGAGAGTTATTTCAGTAAGTGTCATGAAAACAATACCTAAGTAACAGCAAAGTCCAATCAGGAGAAAGGAGATTTCTTTAGGAGCTAATAAGAACTCAGAGTCAAAACAAATAATCTGCCGAACGAGCAGAAAAATGCAGTGACTAAGTCGTGAGTGATTTTACTTTTAATTAGTTTCTGATGGGTTGAGAAAGTGGGGCAAATTTTCTGGACCAATCACAGTGCTAATTAAGCAAACCCAAATCACTTTTGACACTCAATTGAAAATTGCTCTTTAAGGTTGTTATTGGTGATTGTTAGTATCTTATTTTTCACTTAATCTGAAGTTCTAGATCAGCTTATAACAAGACTGGAGGATCAAGGCTTTCTAGAAAGGCTATCCCTAGTCTTCCAGACTTTGGCTCTATAGAACTGGTGTACCTTGGAACAGAACTGGTGGAGTTGAACAGACCTGAACTTATTGCATTCACATCATGTATAATTGAACTTGTATATCATGTCACCAAATTGCACAGAGGTATTACCCACAAGGTATCTTATACATTAGACTTACTACAAAAAAATCTAATCAGCTGAGAGCATTCAATCAATTTACAATGGTGTGTGAACCTGATATGTTAAATTGCAATATATGTGGAGAATATTGCATTTTTCATGTTGAGTTCAAAGTCTGTTGTAGTTTCCAAGCCCTAAGTTTCCAAGCATAAAAAAAGTTATACTAAAGCATTTATTGAATTCATTTTTTGCCTCATGATGTCATGCCGAACCTCATCCAATAATTGCATTTTAAACCATACTGTTCACTTTACGCTATGGGTATCAAAAAATAACTCTTGAATTATACTTGAATTACCACATTACTCGATGCAAATGCTTGATTAGAGATTTTGTTGTTGTTCTCTTAACAAGATGTGATCTTACTTACACTTTTGTTTGTTCATTTGTGGTTCTTTTGTTATTTTACCATTAGTTCTCTGCCGTTCTTTCCAATAATGCTGTCTTGGAGTATTTGAAACTTGTTGTTGAATCCCAGGTTTGTGTACAGAGTTTGGCTTCATATGATACTGAGGAAGAAAGCTTTAAATTTTTGGAGCTCCATGTAGAATGGAATGTACATAATTAGCTAATTGCAATTTCATGTGAACAAGTATGATCCAGTTCAGTATAAGGACTGTTTTTGATCAGGTTTTCCTAGGCACCATTGATTGTATTTATTACCAGGAAGTATACACGTTATAACACACTTGATGATTTTTTGTAGTTTGCGATAACATTTCTGAATTGAACTTATCATATGACTTGTACACTTCCTCGCATTCTTCAAAAATTCCTAGTGTGATACTGAGAGCAGGGCTGGAAAAAGTCATACAGCCCAATGAGCTGTGAGCCAAAAGGGGAAAGGGAGAAAAAGAAAAAATGACGGTCATGTGATAAAACAGTTATTGACTGAGTTTGACTGGGGTAGACAGGAAAATACTCAAGGCTCTCGATCATGATACATGGAGCTTGCTGCTCCGGGACCATGGTTAAAGACCAGACCTAGAGTTAAATATTTTTGCGTTCTGCTCTTCCACTCAGTCAATAAGTTCATATTATTGAATGTTATCATTTTGATTTGATTCCTAACAGAATGTTTCCTCATCCTTCTTTGTTCGTCAAGAGCATCATTTGCAGTACTTCCTGTTGAAACTTGTCAGTAATTTGGTGAGGAAAAAATACATTATTTAAGCTTTTCTCCCTCTCTTTCCTGTATGTGTGATTGAGTGCATATACCGTCTTCTTAAAGCACAGCTTATAACTTTCCGGCTTGCAGATAGGACTATCAGAATCAGATGAGTGTTCAAGTTATATTTACTTATGGCATGAGGCTGCTCTATCACTATTCTCCAAGATCTTCCCAGGCGATGAGTTTTATGCACAAGATTTACTTTCGACGATATTGTTCAATTCAAAGTTTTTCAGGTGAATTGGCCATTTTTTGTGCTTTCAAGATTCAGAATTAATTAGTGCATTTTCAAACACAATCGTAGTTTCCTTCAAGTGACTAGGTTTTGTCCACTTTGGTATTTTCATTCCAGCAAAGTGAATGGACCTCTATCCATGGGTGTCACCAGAGACCTCTCAGAAATGACACTGGCTACTCCTCCAGTTCCAAGTACATATGATACTACAGCTACAAGTAGAGGAGATCTTATAGCCGAGGCTCATAAAAACTTACCTGATATAAGGTCCACATTCAAATGTGCCTTTGAGGGCATGAATTATCCCTTGAGAACTTCTAGGTATGAAAGATGAGTTCTGTCTTAACACTTTGTCTCTCAAGGTCGGATTAGTAATTCTCCCTTGTAACTGTCAGACATTTCCTTGTAAATTAGACAAGAGAATTTGGTGTTATATCAAGAGAAAAATAAGCTTGGCTATTCTCTTAACCTGTTTGGTGGATAATGTATCGGCATCACTAGGAGAAGTTACATGTTTATCACTTCTAGGCGTTAAGTTACACAAGGATATTTTCTCTACTTTTTTTGGTCACGTTTAAAACTACATTTATCTAGAAGAGGAGTATGAAATATATTCACACAAACTAGGCAATGAACAGCTCTTGAGGAACAAGTATGGGCAAGGATGGAGATGATCCAAACAGAATGTAAATGACAGGCCTTACATAGTGAACATATCCTAGATTATGTTTCAAGGCGCACTTAAATGTAAGACTGTTGACAGGCATAGATTTTGAGAAACATTTAACATCAATGCACAGGTGTAGCTGACTACTGCATGAAAAAGAGGAATCAGTTTATGTGCACTTTGCTAATTTTCACTTCTGAATCCCTCTCAGGTCAATGGCCCTTTGTCAAGTGCGTAATATTCAGTCATTTATCGTCCCCTCATGTGCAGGTCCTCTTCAACCCGCTGACTGGGTGTTTCTCCCCATAGTGGATCTGTATAACCTGGCAATAAGTGTGTGAGTAAATATCAAAGTTCGCAGCTGTGTTATACTGAATTTACATTTCTGCAGATTGGGTGCCGCAATTTATCTAATTAGTTTCAGTTGCATGAATAGAATCATTGTGAACCACTTAAATGTAATATGCATTTGATTGATAAATTTTGTAATCCTGAAATAAATAATACTTTCGGTTTTCGTGGTAGATGTTCAGATGTAAAGGAACCGTTTTATTTTATTCAAAATGAAGACCAAAAAGTAGTATCATTTAAGGCTTGGATGACATTACTTCTTTTCGTTTACTTATTTGTCTGTTTACTTCTGTTAGTGAAATGAAGGGTGACAGCATAAATACCATTTCAGGCTCGGCGGTTTCCATAGTAACTAATACACTTCAACTGGTTCTCCTGCTTGAGGAATGGCGGCCGTCCTGTTTACGTCACGTTACTATGGCATCACGAATAGCCAGGCTCATGTGCATCTTCTTGACAGGTGAGGTGACTTAACCTT